AATTGTTTTGAAAAGTTCCCTGCATATGCGGCTACACCCATTTTTCTCACATAAAGTTTTGACCCTCGGAAAAGTATATTTTTTCCACCGTTTTGTGAATCCTCTTGATTTTGGCTCAAAAACTAACCTCTCAAATCTGAATGTTCTAAATTTTTTGAATGTTCTCGAAAAATTTAAAATTTTAAATTTTTTGAATGTTCTCGAAAAATTCCCTGCTATATCTGAAATTTTGGGTTCAATTCAATTAAAGGGTTGTTTGAAACTCATTTTTTATGCAACTGCGTCCAAATTTTTCTGACAGCAAAAGTTTTGGACCTCGGAAATGTGTTTTTGACAAGTTTTTGAAAGTTATTTCTCGCTAACTATCCTGTCAAATCGATTTCATGGTTTTAATCAAAACAACAGGTTAATGACAGTCTACGTTTATAATTGGCTATGCCCATTTCGCTTAAGAAAAAAGTTATGAGCTCATGATTATGATGAATTTTTGAGGTCTACTTTATCTCAAGTAATTACTGCGCATGACGACTTTTGAATTAATATGCCTGTGTGAACTCTTTAAACTAAATTTGGAATCCAGCGCTCAATTAAATTGGAATATTTGCATTTGGTTTTCGGATCCAAAATAGTTTCTTTGAGTATTCCCAAAAACTAGCCATTCATTCCATTTTATTCTAAATATATTTTTTTTGTTTTTATTTTTTTTTTGGTAACTAATCCATTTTTTTTGTTTGCTCCAAAGTTTTGACATGGAGATGGTATCTGGAAGATGTTGAAATTGGAGAACATAGTGGCGTTATTATTGCAACGCCCTAAAAGTTATCGAGTTTAGTTTTACTCATGATCAGGTGAATGATGCTTATTTGCTTCCGCTGCCTGTGTTTTGAATTTTGTTCTTGAAATTATTTCAAATTCGTATTTCAGCTTTACAGCTAGCTCTGAATATGATATTGATACCTCCAAAAATGCAATTGTATCAGCAAGATTTTGAAGCTTTCTACTTGAGCATAGTTTTTCTGACGACTGAATTTTCGGACTGGATGACTTTCATCAACAAATTAATTAGAATTTGTTTTCGTCATCTTTCTCAGCTGATCATGCACGCCTTGTTTTTTTCGATCTCGGCTCAACTCCGTTTTTTTAGTTCTAGTACATATAAAAGGCGGAACATCAGATCTTATTTTTATCAATGAAGATTCCGATAAAAATAAAGTTGTTAAAAAGCATTTAGTGACCAATAAATTGTTCTCCAATTTGTTTTTGTTCCTTTTAATTGTTTTCCCAGCCAATCCTTAATCAGGTAACATTCTTTAATAGTTAGATGTATTCGCGAAAACTGTATTCGTCAAAATCAAGAATCGAGTAAATTGTCGAGATACTTTTCAACGGACTCCTGTAAAAAACCATGAAGGTCATTTCCGTAACGGAGTCCTTAAAGTTAGAACAAAATTGGCTACATTTTTTAAACTGAAGTTCAACTCGTTTAATTGCTGAATAAATGCTGTTTTGATGCTTCGCTTGTTCGAAAAATTGGATTTACGGAATTGTTTCTACCCTTGCGATAAGCAAGGGTTCAATCGGTTACTATACTTTTTTCCGTAAGGAAATTTGTCCACAGGATGACTGAAATTTGGTCATCTCCAAATGCATCTCTTTTTCTACCCAACTTGCACGTCTAACAGCTGGCTTCAACGACTGATTTGAGAATTGTCTTACAGATGATATTTTTTTAGATATAAGTTAATTTTTTGTAGGCTTTTTTGATTTCGACCCAATTTTTGTTGGCTTGCCGGGTAATCTTTTGTTGGCTTGCCGGGTAAGCCGGGATGCTTGGTTTCTGTTTTTTTTTTTAATTCAAAAAGTGCGCGAAACTAGCTAAAGTGTTAATTAGATAAGTGTTAATTTAGGTTTGAGCAATTTTATTTGAAATCGATTGAAGTTGAATGCTTAACGTTCTGTTTCAATTTGTCAAAAAAAGATAAATTTCCAGATTTTTTACAAGATTGACTCGACTGATTTGTCTACAAAGGAATATGGCGGCAAGTTTTGCACAAGATTCAGGAGTGTGGTTCTTTTTGGCTATGTTTTTGCGTTTTTTATTTTCTTTGTTGGCGTTTTCTACTGTTATTTTTTGTTATGATCTAGCTCTCACCATTGCGAATACATTTCATAATTGATAATGATTGAAGTACTTGGGTTATTTTCATAAGTTTTCAGAGTTGTTTCAGACAGTTGTTTTTAATTTTTGCGTTCATGTTTTAAAATTTTTTACTAAAGCAGTGAGCGGATAGGGCCTTTGACACTCGATTGTTCTCTTTGTATAGCAGATTGTTTGATTGCAAGGTTTAATTAAGTTTTCTAGTACATTTGGGATTTTTTTGTGTCTCAATGTTTTGATCGAAATGTCTTTTCTATTGGTCATCAGAAAGAAATGGATAGAGTTCAGTCCAAATCCTTCTTTTATTTTGAAAGTAATTGGTATCTATTACATATGCAATAAAATTTTTCTTGAATTTTTGGCCTAAAATTTCTTCAACAAAATTCATTCATTATTTTCAAGTTCAAGGCATTATCTTTTGATTTTTGGAGCTTATTGTATACCGCAAGTGATTCGAAGATCAGGTGGTTTGCCTCTGTGTACGATTTACTTTGTTACTTGACATTTTCCATTTGCAGTGACAGCAAAATGTTAATATCAGTTCTGTGTGTCTGATCTGATTGATACTCCCTATGTATACGGATTACCTTACGACAATCTGGTTTTTCCGGCTTTTGGTCTGGTTTTTCAGAAATTTGCATACGGCACAGAACTTTTAGTCAAAATTAAGTTATTAATAATACTCAGTAATTCAAATTCGTCTGCATAAAAAAAGTTTGACAATTTCGAAAGTTTTCTGAAAATCCTTTCTCGATAAAGTCCTAAGTCCACTGCTGCTTTTCAGTGTAGAAATTTTATTAGGTAAGAGTTTTTGATTCGATTGAGGGTGTCAAGTACTATTTAACTAGCGAACTAGGATTTAGTTTTTTTTTCAACCTAACTCGCAAATTAAGCTGATCATTTGGTATCACTTTTGCTATAATCACTATCTGTAGTATTAGAAAGCTCATAGCATCTTTTCTGATTCATTTGTGGCTTGTGCTTGGCGTTCTTTAAGCGTCCGTGGCCGAAATAGAAGTGCGTGGGACTGAATTTCCAGGTCTAAGGTCCGAATCGGTTATGTAAAAAATTTTTCACCAATTTACTTATTCGAGGCTTATTTCTAGTTTGCCTTATTTGACTTAATAGAGCTTTTTTGGTCGTTTTCTCGCTAGCTTTTGCAAAGCGCAGCTTTACCACTGTTAAATTTTGGAATTTAATTGACTTCATTCAGGTGATATATGAAAATGAGTAAAAAGATGTATAACTTCATTTACATTTCAACACGGGGACATACAAAAAACTGTTTAGCTAGTCGAGGTGTGCCCTGAAAAACCTTAACATCAGTTGCGAAAAGATATCGTCGAAAAGTACAATCAACAATATGCTCAAGAATAATTTTTTACCTCTAATCAAATTACAGTAAAATTTATTGTAAAACCGGTCTAATTCAGGTACTGAAAATTGTTTTTGATTATCTGGACTAAATTGATTCGAACTGAGAAAACCAAAACACTTAACTGAAATATTCCGCCAAGATAGCTGCATAGTTAGAGTACGAGACGGTAACGATGGTAGGATTTTTAGATAATCTCTGCGTAACAAAAGATTCCAGATAAAAGGTGCTATTTGGGGCTCCTCCCCATAAGTTGTAAAAAAATATCACGAAAAATTTGTCCAAAATACAAATCGAATACAGTGTAATTTCTCGTATCTCAAGAATATCGGAAACATGATCAAAATTTCGTTACAAGAAAATTGTTTTAATTATTCATCTCTCCATAAAATTATTTTGATTAAGATAACTTTTTGGTGTTGCACCATTGGATATAACCTGTTCGGAACGGGTTTTTCGATATTCATTTATACTTAACAGCGTCATCTTTAATGGTAATAAGATCCGTAATCGAATTCACCTTAAACATATTTGAACACACCCGACTTATTCTTTGTGAACACTTTGATTTGACAGTTCCTGCTGGTATTGATGAACTCGCTGCTTTTTTTCGAATATCATTGTCCCATGATGTTAGACGCTCATGAATGATAACAGTTTTCCGTTAAGTTCCCTGCCCCCCTCCCCCCCCATTTGGATGAGTTGGGGTTGAGTGGAAATTTCTGAAATACCAGGCATTCCTTGCTGGTGCAGCGTTCCTGTTGAACCACCCTTCCCTCTAGAGAACCCCATTGGTTCTTCAAATCCAAAAAAAATGAACTATATTGATGCACACATTTCTCTAATCCCAAAATCTGTTCATCTCTCTCGGCCATTCGCTTCTCCAAAGCATCTTTTTTTAAAAATAACTTACTGATAATGTCGACCTGGGCCAATACTTTACGCTGATGTTGTCTCTCTTTGGTGTTGTGTGAGGCAAATGTAATTAGTTATTTTAAATAGTAAATCAAAGGCTTTTAAGTATTTATTTAAGTATAAGTTTCAAATCCAAACTGCTCTTTTTTGAGAATTTTTTAGTTCAAAGTTAAAAGACGGCGTTGAAAATGAGATCGACTGATTTCTGGCTGATGATTCGTTCGTTGAAAATTTATAACTCAATGTTTCTATCGAAGAAAAAACATATGCAGTAGATGGTTTTGAGTCAAGGCAAATATTAACGTTAACTGCGTCGTTCGAAGTGCGAAAATAGATTTTTTATCTGGGTGCGCGGAGTAAGGGAGGGAGGGGGCTATTAAAACTAATACGGGCGTGTACCCAGGTATATTTGCTCTAGCTACATCTTCGAAAATATTTTCAATATTCATTTTTTTCTAAGAACTATTTTCAGACTTGTTTTCCTCTGTGTACAAGCTCAGAATCTAGGGAATTGTTTTTATGTCAAGATTTCGAATGATTGGTTTCTTATAGGGCGGCCTATTTCGATCTGCAAACGTTCAACATTCACTACCCCCGCGACAAGCCCAAGTATGATCCTGAGATATGTAAATCAATAAGCGAAGAAAAAGCGCGGTTGGCTACCTTACCACCCTACAGAGAATACACGAGCGAGCATTTGAAATATCTTCCATTGAAAACTGTATCATGTGGACCACTGGGAGTCCTAGAACGTGGCGATACCTCGGATCCAGTGTTTCCAGATAGTTCAGACTCCGAAACTGAGGTAACCATTGAAGCGCCGGAGATGAATCCGGTTGTGCCGCCAAATCCAACCAGCAATTCCAAACCTAGCTCGTCAAGTAGAAGTTCAAAAAGCGGATCAAAACCTAGAAGATCGGCAGCGAAAAGACAAGCAGCAAATAATGACAACGGAATCGATGAAAAAAGTTGCTCGAGTCCGAAATCCCGAAAATCTAGTGGCGCATCCTCGACCGCGTTCAAAGAAGAATTACCGTCGATTTCAGTTGACAGCATGACTAACATAGCTTCAATTTGCGGCATTTGTTTCAAAAATAACCAAGAAAACAAGTTCAACCAACAGGAAAATTTGATATCTTGTTCTCAGTGTACCAATGCGGGACATCCTACATGTTTAGAGCTTACAGATAGTATAGTTAGCGTGATTATGACTTATAACTGGCAATGTATGGAGTGTAAAGTATGTATGACTTGCAAAAGCGCAACAGATGAGGAGAATTTGATGTTTTGTGACAATTGTGATCGCGGGTATCATTCGTATTGTGTAGGTATGACTGAAATACCCAGTGGTAGATGGGTCTGTGAAATTTGCGGAGATTGTGTTTCATGTCTAAAAATGGAAAAGGAATTTAGCGGTGAATGGAAGCAAGAATTCACGAGGCCAAGAGATAAAACGGAGCCTAAATTCCTGCAACGCCATTGTGACGAATGTTCAAGGCGGTTCAACAAGGGAGAGTTTTGTCCGATTTGTCTTAAGGTACGTTTTTTTATTAATCTTGAGGGCTCTTGATATGATTGAGGGAGAGCGAGTTAAACGAAAAGTGAGGGCCTTGAAAATTGAAAAAAAAATTCGTCGCCTCAAACTGTCAGTCGAAGAAAAAAAAACATTTGTCTCGATAAAAAAGCTGTCGGTGATTTGAAGATTTTTTTGGACGAAAAACACAGGGCTAATAAAACTTATTGCTCGAAACAAAGTTTCACAAATACAAAGAGTGTATAATCTTTTCGCGTATCAATATATTTATTATAATTGATTTATATAACGTTAATCCAAAGATTATAAAAACATTTTTGAAAAGCATAGAATATACAATTGCGACATGTGAAAAACTGATTCGCATTTAAGAAAGCTCGAATGAAAGTTAATTCTAGCCAGCGAAAGTTAATTTTAGTAAGAAAATTTCACACGCGTTAAGAATACAACTACGTCTAATTTCCCATATTTGTAGTTTTGCATCGACATTTAAATTCAATTTTTGGCCACGTCTAATTTGCTTTTCGTCTAAATTCCGAGGCCTCAGTATTTAAGAATATCTTCGACTTCACCTTACAAAACCTTTGTCTTATGTAAACAAAATTGAGTTGTAAGCAGCAAAACAGAGTGGTGAAAGACATAGAAGTTTTTCCAAGCGACAATGCCTTAGCAATTGAAAGTATGTTGCCAAACAAGTCGTTGATATACCACTAGGAAAACAGTAAATTTTTGCACATTCGATCCTTCGGGCATTAAAATAGTCCCCAAATTTTCGCAGAAGCGAGCTTTTGATTTTTTAACTAGGGTTTTAGGACAACAGGCCGATAGGACGTTTATTTTTCATTTTTTAGTTTTCAAAAATTTAATTAATTTTTAGTCAATAATAAGCGTTATTCATGACAATGCGCAACATGGGAATATCATCAGGCACTTAAATGAGCCGGTTTTTGAAATGCAAATGAATTATAGACATGAGAAACCACTTCAAGAAAAGTTCAAGTTAAGCATTACTAACATCAATTAAAGGCTCAAAATGTATGAAAAAACCATACTGGTAGATAAAGTTCATGAAACTGAAAAAGCCTTCAAAAAGGTCTCTAAATTAATCATATTTCATGACTTTCTGACAAAAGTTTTTGGCTTGAAGTATCGTCGGCTTGATTTCCGGCACCCCGTAACTAGACTAAGCGGCGACATTAAATCTGTCAATCAAATTTGTTCAATCCTGTGTTAAGGCCTGGTTGGTTACAAATGAAAGTTCGAGCAAAAGCGAAAACTCAATCACTGTAAAAATGTACAAGGATTATATCGTCATCCTTTAAACTGAGTTTAATTGGAAGATTTGCAGTTTTGTGTTGAGCGAAGATTTATGGAAAGTCCATACTGTTTACATTGGTCTGAATGCATTTCGTGACAAAGCGAAAACCAAACTGCCAGAGAACAGTGAAATTGTTTTGAAAATTGAAGCGTTGAAGCAAAGTTTTGATGATATAATTTATAAAACATTGATCTGAGAAGTTTATTTTTTGAAACATTGTTCTGAGAATATAGTTTTCGAAACGTTAACTGTTTTAAATTCTGTCGAAAAAGTTGTTCGGAAAATGTCAGTGCAATTTAATCATTTTTTATCTGGGCCCGTATAAGTTCCAGGGATTTTTCGTATACCGTTGACAACCTGTGTATATTAACTGATTTCTATTTTCAGGTCTTGTCTCAGTAATTTTTTTGGTTTAAAAAAAAAACAAAAAGAAAATTGGCGTTTTTGTTTAGGTTTTTGATCTGAGCAAAGAGTCTCCTGGCGAAACCCTATCGAACTGTATGTCCTGCGAACGTCTAGTTCACATTGAATGCGACTCAAAGTTCGCCTCCGAATGCAAGGCTGAAAAACATTTCCAACTTGCCTCACCGACCACGAGCAATAGAAATAGCAGAAGAAAGAATCCGTATAATTGCAGTATTTGTAGAGGAGATATTGAGGAGAGAATGGACTCTTTTCACGTGAGGAACAAACATGATAAATGAACGTTGTTGTCTTTAGTCGTTCAGGCGGTTGCTTAACATGATCCAATCAAATGACTGTAATTTTTTGATAGGGTTTTTTTTATTAATCTTAGAAGTATTCGGGGCCTTTTTTTGTCCGCATTACTTCTTCGTGGGTTGAAATAAGGTTATCATTTTAAATGGCTGTTTCACTTTTTTGCTGTTGCCACTGATTATAAATTTCTTTGAATTAATTTTTTGGCAGGCAATAATTAAGAGGGTCGCGTTTAAGTATTTTGTGAGACATAATTTAGATTTTTTGTTTGATAGATCTTTCTCTTAAATGTAACAAAATTGACGTAGAAACTGGGCGCTCCTATTTCTACTAGCAACCGTCTCTAGATTTTTGTAAGGTTGATAGTTTCTTTGAAGCGTAATTCTGATGTTATGATTTCTAATTTTTTTGTTGTATACCTGAATTCATGTTTAAAACCGCAGAATTTTTTAGAATCTGCTATGAAAATTGTGATAATTTAGTAAATGAAATCAATTCAGATATGGCTAATTCTGCTCGCAACTTTGCTAATATAGCGATTTTCAATCAGCAAAAAAAAAACATGCTATTTGATAGATTTTTTTATTTCGGCGAAAACGATATTGAAGTTTCGCCGTTAACACTTTTCTATCTGAATTTTTCAGTCCATACAGACACTAAATAAAAAGCGTGAAATGAGCGCACAAATTTTGTGAGGGTATACAACTTATAGTATCAATGGTATCAATGCGGGTATCAATGGTTCAGAAACTTCATTTGGCACATGTTTAAAAGTTCGCTATGTTAAAATGTCAAATAACTTCAATGGACGAATTGTTTACACAAGCCGACTGTTGGAGCGTGAAATCTGTTGGAGCGCGAATGATTCAACTCTACGTTTTTTCTATATTCACAACAAAAACTATCGAAATTTTTGTTTCGCAATTTATTTAACTAAAAATTAACGACTCAACCCTATGCTGTGGTGCTTTCAGGGCAGTTTCAAGGGTTCAAGACTGGCGTCTAAGTATGAATGCTCAAATCTTTTAGGTTTTTGAGACCTGGAGTTGTTAATCATTTTTTGTTCATTTTTTTCTTCAAAAATATAGATATAATAAAAAATAACCGAACATCGGAAAAAACTAACCAAAATTCTCAACCTTATAGTGGGGGGGGGGGGGGGTGTCAGGGTACATTCAAGGGTTGCAGGTTTGGAGTACAAGTATGACTGCTCAAATGTTTTTGGTTTTCGAGATTTGGCGTTTTTTAAGTTATGTATTTTTTAAAAAATTAAAAAACCAAGAGAACTTGAAATTCTCAAACGTATAGTGGGCAGCTGTCAGGGTGCACTCAGTGGTTGCAAACTTGGCGTTCAAATAAAGCTGCTCAAATCCTTTGGTTTTCGATATATAGCCTTTTTTAAGATTAAAAAAAAATTCGAAAAATTCAGACGTAAAAAAATTAACCGAACTTGAAATTCTCAACCTTATAGTGGGCTGCTCTGAGGGTACACTCAGGGGTTGCGCAGCTGGCGTCCAATTAAAGCTGCTCAAATCCTTTCGGTTTTTGAGAACAGGCGTTTTTTTATGATTTGATTTTTTTTCTCAAAAAACAAACAAACTAAACCAAAGTTGAGTGTCTCAACCCTATTGTGGTGTATATTCAGGGTACACGTAGGGGTTGGAAATCTGAAATCTAACTGCTCAAATTATTTTGGTCTCTGAAAAATAGCGTTTTTTTCTGATTTATTGTTTTCTACGAAAAACCTAGATAAGATCTAACCGAGCTTCCGAGCTTGAAATTATCAACGCCATAGTGGCGTGAAGTCAATGTACATTCAGGGTTTGCAAAGCTGCTGTCCAATTATGATTGCTCAAATCTTTCTGGTTTTTGTGAATGGCGTTTTTTATGATTAATTAATTTATTTTTTTTTAAAATCCAAATATAAAAAAAACTAAGCAAACTTGAAATTCTCAATTGTATAGTGGGCTGCTGTCAAGATGCACCGAGGAATTGCAAATATGGCGTCCAAACATAGCTGTTCAAATCAATTTGATTTTCGTGAATGGCGTTTTTATAATTTCATTTAAAAAAGCACTTGGACAAAAAAAACTACCGAACTTGAAATGCTGCCAGCGAACAGTTAGGGATTGCAAAGTTGCTGTCCAATTATGACTGCTCAAATTTTTTTGGTTTTCGTGAATGGTGTTTTCTAAGATTTCGTTCTTTTTTTAAAAAAAAACTTAAATTAAAAAGCTAACAAAACTATCTCAAGCTTTTGTTAATGTGCTGTAAGGTGGGTTCCAGTTTTTTTCTTCAATTAAACTGCTCAAAGTTTTTTGGTTTCCAAGATAAGACGTTTCTTAAAATTTTCTAACTTTTTTTTCCAAAATTTTGAATCTAATAAACATACATAACTTCAAATGCTATTGTAAACCCTAATGCGTGTCCTAAAGCTGGGCATTGCAAATCCACCCTCTAAATATGACTGATCAGATTCTTTTGGTTTGCGAGATAAGGCAATTTTTACTATTTTTCCCTTTTTTCAAAATACTTGAAATAAAAACAATTTAACCGACCTTGAAATTTTTCAACATCAATGGTGGGGTTCTGTCAGGGTACAAACCGGTGGTACTGTCAGGTTATAAACCTGGCTTCTCCTTTTTACTGCTCGATTTTTTCTTGTTTCAAAAAATCTTAGATTCAAAAACAAGTAATACAAACTGATTTTTTAATCCGATGGTGGGATGTTGTCAAGGAATAATATATAGTAGCAAATTGGTCCTCTTATTTTAAAAAATTGTTTTGGTTTTCCAGATATGGTGTTTTTTATGGAAAAAAATACCCAGATAGATGAGCCCAGTTTATTATCACGGTTGCCTTAAATATCGCTGTTTTAGTACATGTTTCAGTAAAATCTTTTTTTTTGTTCAACAATCTTATTGAAGCACCGTAGTTGCGATACATGCGCTAGTACTTTTGTAAGGGTTGGCCAGCCTAGATAGATGTAGACAGTTAGTTCTAAATGTGGCAACTTGGAAGGGGCGATAATTTTCTGAATTGGTCGGGGGTCAATAAACGTGAAGTTTAAGGGGAAAATTACAATCGAAATATGAAATCTATATTTTGGATTCATGGGAACCGGGATACTGCTGCCATGCATGACCATCCTGCCCTGTTTTACTGCTCCTGACTCGTTTACAGAATGGTCAAGTTTTACCTCACTGATGGTTAATTGTCTTCTTGCTTAATTACTGAAAACCAAACGCCAAATATTGGACTGGTGTTTTAAATGTATTACGCCTGAAATGTCCGACAGATGTATGCATATCTGAGCCCAAGTCTAAAGATTTTGTATAAAGCCACGTACTTAGATCATTTGGATTTTCGGCTCTGAAATTTTTACCCTTATTGTAATTGATCAATTTTTCAACTGCTCATGATGAATTGGCTGTTGCGTTTTTATAAAGATATACTCTCTAAAACAGATGTTTTTTTTCGAAAAAGTCTAATGTTTCGGGACAGTTTTGGTTTTGTTTTAAACGGTTAAAGATTACAGTGGGCTCTTACAAGAAAAGATCGCATGAAAACAGTTAGTTGTCATAGCAACTTAAAGCTTGACAGTCGAAAATGTAATAATGTATGTGTAAAAATTTTTTATCATGCTTTCTGAGTTTCGTTAACTGTTTCATGCATTTTTGCTTTATATTAGTGATTCGAAGAAAGACTATAAGAAAAAATATAAATTTTACATTGAGCCTATAGATTTTGGTGCTTCTGCTTAGCCTGTCATTTGATTCAAAACGCTTTTCCGGTTATAAATTATGCTGTAAGCTGCTAAAAATTTTGATCAGTAAAGGTAGAGATCGTTTTGGTTTCTTGGTTGATGACCACACTCGCAGGCTCAAAGACATCCCTGAATCCCTTGACGCAAATCGGCTTTTTGCATTCTGTACATTTATCATTCTGGACACAATGATAAATATACACCTTATCTGAAGAAAGTGACGTAAATAGCACTCTTCTAATACGAACTCTTCAATTGCACACCACCGCATGTGGAAGAACTATCTGTTCACAGAATGGTCAAATGTAAGGTCAAGAGTGACGTTTTAGCTTCGTGCTTTATCAATTGAACTTAAACGCGAATTGACTTTCCTCTATTGGCGTAAATTTAACTCCCCAAATTTATCCCATGTCTTGCGTTCGCTTGCATTTTTCAGAGGTTACTTTTTTTGGCCTCAATTGGTTTGCAATATATTTAGCAATTCTTTTATTGTAAATGGTTTGTTCATTTTAAAGGATGCAATATAGTTGTTTTTGTAGTATTTCAAAAAAATCCATACCTCGGTGAATTTATACCATGCAAAATAATTTAAAATTTTACGAGTTAAGGTGAACATTTTTTTCTGAAAAAAGATTGCACTCTCTTAGCGTTAGAATACATCACATTGAACTGTCCGCTAAACAAAAAAATGTGATCGATACTAGACTTTTACCAATAATTAGTTTTCTTCACATGACTCATCCCCTGACTCATTCATATACTGGCCATCCTGTTGCAACAGAAAAATTTTGATCTTTTTAGCATATAAAATATCCGGCCAACGATTTCATAAAACTTTTTTTTTCTTTTTTTTTGTCTTTTTATGGCTTATTAGGTTTCAGCTTAATTTAAATTGACTTAGTGGCCGCTTACTGCGTCGTTTAATTACTGCGACATTTTTCGGGTTAAAAACTTGGTGGATTGAACCACTAAATTCACTAGTATCTTGGTTCATAACGATTTCAAACTTCTATGCGCTCCCAGCCAATTTAGCATGGAGGTAACGAATATGCTGTGAACTACAATAGTCCCGCGCGCGATTCTGACCAGAACCAGTTTTTTTCCAAACGGGAAGTTTTCTTTTTCAAATAAAGTTGTCGGCCATTTTTTTGTCTGCTTATCCGTTGTCGGCTTAGTTCTCTAATCTTGGAATAGTTTCTTTTGCTGCGCGCATTTTGCCCTTTAGTTGATTTTACTGTTTGATTTACTTCAAGAAAATGAAATTTGAAATTAGTTTTTCGACTCCTTG